CTGCTGGCATCGGAGCGGCTGTAGTCGCTGAGCGAGCCCGTCCGCGAGCCCCCACCGCGCCGCTGCAGCATGCCCGGGTGGAAGTTGGCATGGCGACGCGCGTGTTTCGTCAGGTGATCGCTCCGCATGAAGCGCTTCTCGCAGATGGGGCAGCTGAACTTCTTCTCGCCCGTGTGCGTGCGGTAGTGCCGCGCCAGCTCGTCCGAGCGTGCGAACTTCTTGTTGCACTCCTGCCAGCTGCAGGCGAAGGGCCTCTCACCTGTGGGAGACAGGGGCAGAGGTTTTAAGTCTCGGCCACGCCCCACCATCTAGTCAAGCCACTGCCTCTCACCACCCTCGAGGCCCGTTTTCTCATCCCGTGGACAAGCTCTCAGCCCACACCTGAGATGCAAGCAGATGACAGGGCTGAGGAAGACACACAACATGGCCGACTCGGCAGTGGAGCTCAGACACAAGGGAAAGCCTTCCATCAACACTCCCCAGGCAGGACCAGAGTAGGAAGGGGGATGCATCTTGTCTAGCAAGAGGGGGTCGGAGAGACCATTACCCAGAGTCTGCCAGCCCACTGTACCTGCCCTGACAGGGGTCCTAATGCGGGCCTGGCGTGCAGCAGACTTCAAAAGGCTCCTGCTGACTCAGGCAGGATGACACACAAAGGTAATGGCTGGGGGGGGGGGGGGGGGGGGGGGGGGGGGGGGGGGGGGGGGGGGGGGAGACGCGGAGGCACCGAGCTAGGCAAGTGTGGAGAAGGCAGAGCACAGTGCAACTCAGGGGGTAGTGTGGACTCAACTCACTCTGGACCCCAATCTACTCTCTGCTCAGATCAAGGGACACGCTAGCATTTACCCAAACTCTACAGATGAGAGAGAAAGGGTGGGGGGGGAAGACCAGCTACTCTGAGAGAAGCATTTGGTGGCACCCCAGAATGAACCCTGTCTGTATTGGGGAAGCCACAGGGCTGCCTTTCCTGCTTCCTTGTCCTACAGAGCCTCTAAGGAAGAGTTTCAGCCTTTCAAGTCTAGCAAAGGAAATCCACAGGGCCCAACCATCCACCTTAAATATAAACAGATACTTGGGGCCACCTGACAGCCAATGAAAATCACCAGCATGAACAGGAGACAGCAACAAAGCTACCAGCTCCAGAGGAAAAGGAGAGAAGACAGGAAACAAAAGAACAGTAACCTAATTTTTTTTTTTTTTTGGTTTTTCGAGACAGGGTTTCTCTGTGGCTTTGGAGCCTGTCCTGAAACTAGCTCTGTAGACCAGGCTGGTCTCGAACTCACAGAGATCCGCCTGCCTCTGCTTCCTGGGTTTAAAGGCGTGTGCCAACATCACCCGGCTAACCTAAAATTTTTGATTAGTATTCAATACAATCTGAGATACAATGGGATGCCCAGAGCAAACAATATCATAGGAAGCAAGTTCAGAAAACAAAACAAAAAAAAAAAACACTGAGAAATTAAGAAATACTCTTGATTAAATAATAATTCCAAAAAGCTAAAAATATACTCAAGGAACTATCCTGAAAAACAAAAACAAAACCCCAATTCTAGAGAATTCGTGAACGTGGCAGTGTTCCATCCCCTGGCACTTTGGAGACAAGGCTTTTTCCTCAGCCATTTTCACAGCGTGGGGAAAGACACTGAGAGGTGATGCAAAACCAAGCAGCCTGGGGCATGGCCACGACGGCCGCCCTTACGTTCTGGTTCGGTTTTCCAGAACTGTTCTGTGAGCAGACTGCTAGGTTTGCATACAATTCTTGTTTCTGACAGACAGTGGAGGACAAGAAGTTGGAAGCTCCAGCAATCAGTACAGGGGCTTTTATCTAAGAAGAGGTACAGACAGTGGAAGGAAGGACAGTGTGCAGCCAGGGTGTGTGGTAGGGGTAGGGGGCAGGGAGAACGACAGGAGAGCATGCTGGGAAGATCAGGCGGAGGTGTGAGGGAAGTGCTAGGAGAATTTCTGCATAATTACAACAGTGAGTAGAAAACCTGAGATCTCAATACTTAGTAAGTGGTATGCGAGAAACAGGCATCAGACTTCCACGCCAGAGCAAGGCACTACATGTCGGGCATACTGGACACACTGGAGGGCAGGGGATGGAGAGTTTACATCTCATATACTCCATCCAAGAAACCAGGAGTCAAGGGCAAGGGGGAGGCTTGGGGAGACAGGGCCCCAAGGCCTTCAGGGGATAATCCTAGAAGAAAGCAATTCTTTGCAGAGAGCATGGCCAAGATATTAGATAAAAATAAGGGCACGGACAAGGCACATTTCTTTCTTTTCTTTTTTTAAAATGACGATGAACTCCAGGAAATACAGGAGCAATCTGGACACACGACAACAACGACCATATTCCAAACACACTAAAATACCAGATGATCTTGTGCGACCAGTGAAGAGCTCAAAGGCCCTAGCTGCTTTTCGTAGGTAATGACTTATCTTTCCCAATGACCCCATGGGAAGGCAGAAATAAATATAACTCCAGCACAGGCCTCAGTGGGTCAGAATCACAGTACAGGCACATAGAGCACAGGGCAGAGACAGGCGTCACAAACAAAACGTGGCTTTCGAGGAAAGGTAGAGAGATACACAGTGGGATTTAAACAATATATATAATTTTATCAGTTCAGGAGGAGGTGGGTAAAAGGGTAGGAGTGAGGTGAATTCTTAAAATAGCATGAAAACAGATTAATTTGAGAAATAAAGAAACAAATATATATTATATAACACAGACATACATGATATTTATTATTATTATTATTATTATTATTATTAACAGTACCCATCGGGACAATTAAAATCAGATCAGGGAACAGTGCTGAACTGAACACAGTCCAATAAGCCCTTCTGTGTTGCAGGCTGCCAGAGATGACTCTAAAGGTGAAGGTGTTTGCTTGATCAAACATAATGAATAGCCTATGTTCTATCCCCAGGACCCAGACACTGCAGGGAGAGAACCAGTTCCCAAAAGTTATCTTCTGCTCTTTACACATGCCATGCCATTCACATGTGCCACCACACCCCAAATTTAAAAAAATGTCTAAGTACAATTTTAACAACAGCTAACCCAACCACAGTCAAAGAGATGGCAATGCTGAATATGCCAACTGGTTCCGGGAAGAGGGGCTTGTCAACAAGAAAGTGGGAAGTGGGTCACATGCTATTTCTATTCCTGGATATTCACAGGGCCTATTAACCAGCAGCACCTTGGGAAAGTCTAGAGTCACCTGTATCAAGTCAAACTGCTTGCAGTGGGAGGAACTCTAGAGTCACCTGTATCAAGTCAAACTGCTTGCAGTGGGAGGAGCAATGAAAAGATACAGCCAGCCACTAATCCCCAGAATCTGAGAAGCAGCCTAATTTGGAAGGGGGAAAAGGGGTCTTTGTAGATATAATTAGGCTAAGAATCTTTTTTTTTTTTTTTTTTTTTTTTTTTTTGATTTTCGAGACAGGGTTTCTCTGTAGTTTTTGGTGCCTGTCCTGGAACTAGCTCTTGTAGACCAGGCTGGCCTCGAACTCACAAAGATCCTCCTGCCTCTGCCTCCCGAGTGCTGGGATAGGGTAAGAATCTTGAGATGAAGCCACAAGTTCCAAGAGGGAAGTAAAGGAGGAAATGGTGGTAAGGGACCAGGACCATCCCTCTACAAACTCCCAGTTGCCAGTTCCAGCACTGGAAGAGAGGAGAGAGGCAAGAAAGAAGATGCTGTCTTGGAGCCTCCAGGAAGAGCCACCCCTGCCAGCATCTTGCTCTGAGATGCCTGGTTTCGTTTAGAAACTGAGAAGTAAATTTCAGCTGCTTTTAGCTATCCACTCGATGGATACAGGAAGCAAACATGCTGTCCTGTTCTCAGAGTCGGGCCCACACGGTGATGCTATAGGCTATGTGCCACCAGCTCTGGTACCAGGCCTGGCGTGTTCCAGTGTCTGTTCTTATTTGCTATCCCCACCCACGGGGTCTTCTTAGACTGGAGCAGAGGTGGGAGCTGGGTTCAGGGTGGAGACAGAATCCACTGAACTCAGCTTCACTTGGTTTCCTAAGAGGCCCCGATCTTTGTCTTTTTCGGGATCTTTCTGCTTGCGTTCCTGGAAGCATACAAGATGGGTACTATTACGGATGGGCCAGGCAATGGCGGGGCTGCAGAGAAGGGCAGCGAGTGTCTCACTGGGGAGGAAAGTGGGAAGGGTTTCCACACTTTCACTGGTACATGCTCAAAGCAGGACCTGAATTCAGGATGTAATCCTCACCCCAAGGGACGCCAGCCTCCCACCTGCTCTCTATGCCTCCATCAGCCTATTTAAAAAAAAAAAAAAAAGTCTATGGGGCAGAAGCTCACGCTACATGCCCACCTCCAGTGGTGATATCCAAGGCTGCCAAAGATACATGCGGGTACTAGAATGTATAATGGAGGATGAGTGAATGGAGGTGGGGGTCACATGACACTCCACACTGCAGGACACATCCCTTGCACTATCCCTGTGAGCTCTCTGAAGAGCTTCTACGTGTGTGTGTGTGTGTGTGTGCCCCTGATACTCATTGCATTAGGAAAAACACAACACAAACAAGACCCAAGCACACGTTCCAGCAGCTGTCCGGAGAAGGATGCCATCAATTATCACACAGCCTCTGGAATTTTCCACGGCACTCTAGGAAGAGCAAAGGTGGGTAATGTCACTGCAGTCACACAGTTTTAGCTCACGGTGCCATGAGAGGGTCTCAGGTGCCTACAGGTGCCCTTCGGCATCGCTCTGAAAGCGCCGCTCTGGACACTGGACTCAGGGTAGAGTGGCTGGCCTAAAATATCACAGGACACACCATACAGACAATCCCAGCACACAGCTGGAGACCCCACCTCCCATCACAGCAGAGGGAGTGGGGGATGGGCTAAAACAGCCCCAACATCCCCACTGTCCTGCATCTGCTCTCCTGTGTACAACCAGTCCCCAAGGATAAGGTGTAGTCTAACTCAGAAAAGTACTGGCCCTCTCAAGAAGGTAGCCGGAATAGAGGAAGCTGGTCCCTATAGAAAGACAGTCTTTTTGAGGAATCCCAAAGCTGAGGGGACCCCATTCTCAGAAGCTAAAAGGGACCAGGGGACCAGATGTTGTTGGATGACCAATAAAGGTGCATGGGGAGGTGACTGGAGCCACAGGGCAAGACGAGGGATCAGGCTTTGTGAAGGAAAAGCCGGTGGGAGGAAGGGGGCTGGCTGCTGAATCTGAGGCGCTGTGACTGGGTGGGCAGGGAAGTAAGGGACA